CAGCGTCTGCCTCATTTGGGGTACTGCAGTCCTCAAGGGTACTCCCGGTCAAGTCCCATTTGTGGGGTCATCTCTGGTCTCGTGGAAGCGGGGCAGATTTATCCTCTAACAAAGCTTTGCTGCTCACCTCACTCCATTCCCTGAGCTCGCAGTACAGTAGACAGCCCAGGCTCCCAGCTCTGGCCTGAGCCACGCTGGGCGTGAGTCCTCAGGGTTGGGGCCATGCGGTGAAGGAGTTGCAGGCATGGTTTGGCCCTCAGGCCTGTCTAGATTTGAACCCCAGCCCTGACATCTACCAACTGTTGGTCACTTACCTCTTTGTAAAGGACTTGGCAGAGAACAAATAATTCTTTTTTTTTTTTTTATTGTGTTTTTGGTTTTGCGGTACATGTGAAGAACATGCAAGACTGTTGCATAAGTACACACGTGGCCGTGTGGTTTGCTGCCTTCCTCCCCATCATCCACATCTGGCATTTCTCCCCATGCTCTCTCTCCCCCAACTCTCCACCTCCCGCTGTCCCTCCCCTGGTTCCCCCAACAGACCCCAGTGTGTGATGCTCCCCTCCCTGTGTCCATGTGTTCTCATTGTTCAACACCTGCCTATAAGTGAGAACATGTGGTGTTTGATTTTCTGTTCTTCTGTCAGTTTGCTGAGAATGATGGTTTCCAGGTTCATCCATGTCCCTACAAAGGACACGAACTCATCATTTTTTATGGCTGCATGATATTCCATAGTGTATATGTGCCACATTTTCCCTGTCCAGTCTATCATCAATGGGCATTTGGGTTGGTTCCAGGTCTTTGCTATTGTAAACAGTGCTGCAATGAACATTCGTGTGCACATGTCCTTATAGTAGAACGATTTATAATCCTCTGGATATATACCCAGTAATGGAATTGCTGGGTCAAATGGAATTTCTATTTCTAGGTCCTTGAGGAATCGCCACACTGTCTTCCACAATGGTTGAGCTAATTTATACTCCCACCAACAGTGTAAAAGTGTTCCTATTTCTCCACATCCTCTCCAGCATCTGTTGTCTCCAGATTTTTTAATGATCGCCGTTCTAACTGGCGTGAGATGGTATCTCAATGTAGTTTTGATTTGCATTTCTTTAATGATCAGTGATGATGAGCGTTTTTTCATATGTTTGTTGGCCTCATGTATGAGAACAAATACTTCTAAAACACATAAAAATAAACCAGCTGTCTGTCCCACCAGCCCCAGGGGACACACGTTCAGCTTCATGAGGGGAAGTCCTCCTCTCCTCATGTGGCAGGAAGCACCTCAAAACTGAGGTGGGGGCAGATCCCCACCCCTCCATTGCATCATTCGGAGGCTTTGAAACCTCAGCTGCATCTGAGCTGGGAAGAGCCGCCTTATAACATCCTGTCACCCTTGGGGTCGGGGGCAGCCAGAAGGGAGGGGTCTCTGAGTAGGGCAGCATGGAGGAGCCCTGGAATGGGGCTGGGTGAGGTCAGGGCCAGCTCCATCCTGCCTGGTTGGCTCAGGGACTCCAGAGAAGCAGGGGCAGCTGTCATCCTCCCTTCTTTCCTCTCAACTTTTTTTTTAAAGAGACAGGATTTCACCGTGTTGCCCAGGCTGGTCTCAAACTCTTGACCTCAGACAATCTGCCTGCATTGGCCTCCCAAAGTGCTGGGATCACAGACAGGCATGAGCCACCGTGCCCGGCCTTTTTTTTTTTTTTTTTTTTTTTTTTCTGAGACAGAGTCTTACTTTGTCGCCCAGGCTGGAGTGCAATGGCGTGATCTCGGTTCACTACAACCTCCATTTCCCAGGTTCAAGCAATTCTCCTGCCTTAGCCTCCTGAGTAGCTGGGATTAGAGGTGCACACCATCATGCCCAGCTAATTTTTATTTTCAGTAGAGATGAAGTTTCACCATGTTGGCCAGGCTGGTCTCGAACTCCTGACCTCAGGTGATCCGCCCACCTCAGCCTCCCAAAGTGCTAGGATTACAGAGGTGAGCCACTGCGCCCGGCCTCAACTTTATTTTTTAAACCTTTTGTTTCAAGATAACTGGAGATTCATGTATATCTTCTCCACTCTTTTTTTTTTTTTTGGAGACAGAGTCTTGCTCTGTCATCCAGGTTGTAGTGCAGTGGTGTGATCTTGGCTCACTGCCATCTCTGCCTGCTGGATTCAAGCGCTCTCACATCTCAGCCTCCCAAGTAGCTGGTATTACAGGTGCCCACCACCATGCCCAGCTAATTTTTTGTATTTTTAGTAGAGACAGGGTTTCGCCATGTTGGCCAAGCTGGTCTCCAGCTCCTGACTTCAAGTGATCTGCCTGCCTCGGCTCCCAGTGTGCTGGGATTTCTGGCATGCCACTGTCATCTCCCCTATTTTCCCGTCAACTACAGGCATGAGCCACCACACCCGGGCCATCTTCTTCACTTTCCATATAGAAAAGATTCAAACATTCAGAAAAGCTGTGAGAGTGGTACAATGCCACCTATATTCCCTTCACCTGCATTCAGCAGTTCACGTTTGATTTTTTTTTTTTTTTTTTTGAGACATGGTCTTATTCTGTTGCTCAGGCTGGAGTGCAGTGGTGCTATCTCAGCTCACTGCAACCTCCACCTCCTGGGTTCAAGTGATCTTCCATCTCAGCCTCCTGAGTAGCTGGGACTACAGGTGCACACCACCACACCTGGCTAATTTTTGGTTTTGTTTTTTGGTAGAAATGGGGTTTTGCCCAGCACTTCACATTTGATTCATTCATAGTTCTTAATCTATTATTGATATCTACATAGAGACATGGACATGAATATAGAAATGTGAAGATGCTCTGTCCACTAGAAAACATTTCTGGCTGGGCACGGTGGCTCACGCCTGTAATACCAGCACTTTCGGAGGCCGAAGCAGGCGGATCACAAGGTCAGGAGATCGAGACCATCCTGGCCAACATGGTGAAACCCCTATCTCTACTAAAAATACAAAAATTAGCTGGACCTGGTGGCTGGTACCTGTAATCCCAGCTGCTAGGGAGGCTGAAGCAGGGGAATCGCTTGAACCCAGGAGGCAGAGGTTGCAGCGAGCAAGATCGTACCACTGCACTCTAGCCTGGTAACAGAGCGAGACTTTGTATCAAAAAAAAAAAAAAAAGAAAATATATTTCTAAAACCTCATGTTATATACATGTATTTAAACACACACACACATACCTACATACGTATAACATTTCCTCCCAGCTCTGTCTGCAAGAGGGGCTGGAAGCCACGGCACAGCAGTAGCAGTGAGCTCACCTCACACCCTGATCAATCCGAGTTCCAGAATCCCATCTGGTGCTACAAATCCCACCCTCTCCCTCCTCGGAGAGATGACTGATTCCAGGGATGGAGCAGGAAATATTCCAGGTGAGTCTTGAACATAGTATTGGCCAGAAGGTCAGGCCGTGTTCATAGAATGACATGGCAGTGCGGAACGGGCGAGGAGCCAGCTTGAAGGAGACCCTACTGGCCTAATCAGGGGCATTTTGAGCACCAAAATCAATGAGATAGTATTGGATTATAATCCACTGGCTAAAATATGAAACCGTGAGTCCATATTGATATAAATGAAGGAAGAAAAACTTCTTTACAGGAAAAAATGTGACTTCACACAGATTGACCCAAGGTCCATGCAGCAGCACAGGGCTTGCCCTGGTTTTCCTTCCCCGTCGGAGTCTTCCTTCTTCCCCAGGGCGAACCCTGGTTCCAAACGATGGAGCTGTGCCTGTCCACTTGTGCTGTATCCTTCAACACTTGCAAAACAGTTTCAGAATTGCCACACTGACGCCACTGCCTATAACAAATCCACTACGGAAAGGTAGAGGTTTATTTACAATTCTTTCTTTCTTTCTTTTTTTTGAGAAGGAGTCTCCCTCCATCACCCAGGCTGGAGAGCAATGACACAATCTTGGCTCATTGCAATCTCTGTCTCCGGGGTTCAAGCAATTCTCATGCCTCAGCCTCCTGAGTAGCTGGGATTACAGACACGCGCCACCACGCCTGGCTAATTTTTTCTATTTTTTTTATTTATTTATTTTAGAGACGGGGTCTCACTATGTTGCCCAGGCTGGAGTGCAGTGGCTATTCACAGATGCGATCCCACTACTGATCAGCATGGGAGTTTTGACCTGCTCCGTTTCTGACCTGGGTCAGTTCACCCCTCCTTAGGCAACCTGGTGGCCCCCACTCCCGGAAGGTCACCATATTGATGCCGAACTTAGTGCGGACACCCGATCGGCATAGCTCACCACAGCCCAGAACTCCTGGACTCAAGAGATCCTCCCACCTCAGCCTCCCGAGTAGCTGGGACTACAGGCACGCGCCACCGTGCCCTGCAATTTTTTGTATTTTTAGTAGAGATGGGGCTTCACCATGTTGGCTAGGCTGGTCTCGAACTCCTAACCTCCAGTGATTCCCCCCGGCTCGGCCTCCCAAAGTGCTGGGATTACAGGTATGAGCCGTCGCACCCGGCCTACAATTCTTCTTGACCTTAAGAATTAAGTCTCACCTAAGGTGCCCAGTGTTTAAACCAGAAAAGGTACATTTTGAGCTGGGCTTTGGTGGATGAATAGGAGTCTCCTGGGTGCAGAAAGAGGAGAACACTAGGCAGAGGAACTGCATGTAGAAAAGTCCAGGGTTGAAATGAGAGTGTGGTGTGGCCCCTTGCAGTGGCTGAAGCCCAGGGTTTGTTTAGAGCGAAGAAGATGGCACAGGATGAGAATGGGGCTGTTTGTAGGGGCAGATGGAGGTAGTGGCTCGAAAGGGCCTTGAGTGCCAGGGCCTAGGGCATTACAAGAGGCACCAGGGTTTAGGGAAAGATGGACGGTCATTGGCAAATTGGTGAACTGGGGGCCAGTATCTGGCGCCGTGAGACTCAGAGCCTGAGCCAGCAGGACGGCTTTGCCATCCTCCAGATGACAGAACGTGGGCACAAGGGGGCCCCACTCCCAGAGCTTCAGGGAGACTCCCCCGGCGCCATTCCTGGCACCTGGGGGCTGAGGTAGGGACCGAGCTGGCCCACAAGCCCTCTCTGTTCTGTGACATGTCTCTGTTTCCTGTTTCTCCCCCATCAGGGGCAGTTTCAGTCTCAACTTCAAAAGAACAAACACGCACTCAAAACAAAGGAAGACGGTCCTCAGCTGCAGAGGAAGCAGGAAGCTGTCGGCCCAGCTCTGAGCCCAGCTGCTGGAGCCCGGAGCAGCGGCATGGAGTCCGTGGCCCTGTACAGCTTTCAGGCCACAGAGAGCGACGAGCTGGCCTTCAACAAGGGAGACACGCTCAAGGTAGGGGGACTGGAGCCAGCTGAGTTGGCCCCACATGGGGCGGGGGTAGATTTAGGCACTGGGGGCCTGGGACCATCCCAAGCAGACAGTGGCCACCAGGAGACAGGCCCAGCCTCTCCAGTTATTGGCTGTGTGACACTGGACAAGCCACCTCCTCCCTCGGAGCCTCAGTTTCTCCATCTGGGAAATGGGGAGATAACTAATGACCCTCCTTTGGGGCCACTGCGAGGATTCAATGAGATATTACCACAGTGTCTGGCTGGAGTTAGTTCAACTCCCAGCTTCCCAGGAAAATGTTTGAAAAGAAAATTGTTGAGAAAGGGAGAGAATGAGAGCTAGAGAGAGAGGCAGACAGAATACGGGAATGAAGGACAGAGGGAGAACGAGGGAGGAGAGGTCTTAGGAAAGAAATAAGCACACACGCTCACCTAGTAGGGCTAAAATAGCCATGATGAAAGCGTCAAGGATGAGCTTCCCAGTAGTGTGGAGAAAAGGGGAAATGCTGCAGTTCATTTCTCCTTGTCTGGGCCGCTTCTGACAGATATTGCCGCCTTTCAAGACGGTCTAGACAGATGGGCCTATGGAATCTGTCTCTGGAAATGTCCTTGCTTAAGGGTTTGCATGTGAAAGCCAGGCCCAGGATCTAGGACTGGCCATGCCAAGCTTGTGCACTGGAGCCACCGCTAAACCACCCTAAGGAAGTTACTGCCCTTCCCTGGGCCTCAGTCTCCCCCCTGGAGCAATGGGTGTCAGACAGGATGCCCCTCTGGGCGCTGCTCTTGGCCACAGGCTTCAAGCACATCACCCCGCTATAGCCAGGCCCTGAACTCAGCAGCATGCCCCATGTCCTGTTTAAGCAATGGGGACTGGCACCCCCATTGCACAGGTGACTAAACTGAGGCACAGGGAGGCGACATGACCTGCTTGGTATGGAGTCAGTTTTGAAGCTGTGTGCCTTTGACTAGAACCTGCGCCTGGTCTGTGCTGGGCTGGGGGCTGAGGTCCAGAGGAGAAGGAGCAATTCCTCCTTCTCTATGTTGGGGTGCTGGCACCTAAGATCACTGCAATGCTGGCCGTGGGCCTCGTGGACATGTGGCCAGATGGGGACAGGGGCAGGCTGAGCACTGGGGCTGCGAGCCCAGGCATGGCCCTCTGCGGGGGTCCAAGTCTTGGTTTCTCGTCTGAGAGCACCTCGAGGTCTTTAGACCCAGGTTTGGTGTTGGGAGGGAGCAGGGTGCGCAGGGAGCACGGAGCCGGGCTTGGAGGGATCAGGTGGCTGGGGTGAAGGCTGAGCTCCGTGACCATCCTGTCCTCTCGTCCAACGCTCCCTGTGGGTCATCCCCTGCCGCTCCACCGCCTGCCTGCAGAGCAAGTCCAACCTGGAAGAGTGGGCAGTGAAGCCCGTTCTTCAAATCTCAACCTTGGTCTTGGTTGAAAACTCAGCGACTTATAGACTCACTCTGGACAAATGGCCCCAAACATCACCTCCCTGGGACAAAACCCCCCTCCCTGATGGGCCAGGCGTGTCTGGGTGCACGGCATGCCCCTGCCGTGGCCAGCTGGAGGGGCATGTGTGTGGTGGCTTCACTGCCATCTCCCCACGAGCAGCCTGGACGCCGAGACCCAGACTCAGGAAGCCCTTGTCACCTTGACATCTCCGTGGGAACGGGCGACGGCCCAGACCCAGCTCAGCCAGCCGGGTTCCTGCACCTGCTTTCTGCAGCTCCTCATTGTCTTGTGGCAACTCTGGCAAAGCCCACCTGAAGACTCCTCCGGCCCAGGCCTCCATCGTCACTCAGCTGGCCTTGAGCGGTGGCCATGACTCAGCAGCTGTCCATCTCAGGACACCTGCCCTCCTTCCCTCAGCCCCACACACCCTGGCCTCCTTTTTGTCTTGGGGACACAGCCTGCCCCCACCTGACAGCCTTGGCGCTGGCCTTTCCCTCTGCCTGGGACACTGTTCCCTACGCTTGCTTTCTTTCTCTTTCTTTTTTCTGTCTCTCTCTCCTTCCTTCCTTCCTTCCTTCTTTTCTCTCTGTCTCTCTCTTTCTCTTTTTCCTTCTCAGAGTCTTGCTCTGTCGCCAGGCTGGAGCGCAGTGGTGTCATCTCGGCTCACTGCAACCTCCCCCTCCTGGGTTCAAGCGATTCCCCTGCCTCAGCCTCCCGAGTAGCTGGGACCACAGGTGCCCGCCACCACGCATGGCTAGTTTTTTTGTATTTTAGTGGAGATGGGGTTTCACCGTGCTGGCCAGGATGGTCTCAATCTCCTGATCTCATGATCTGCCCGTCTCAGCCTCCCAAAATGCTGGGATTACAGGCGTGAGCCACTGCGCCCAGCCATGCCCCACATTTTCTTACCACTGGTTCCTTCTTGTAATTTGGGTCTCAGCTCCCATGTCACCTCTTCAGAGAGGCCTTTCTAGACCACCCCTGTGTGGACACTGTCCCCGCTCTCACCCAGCCAGACATTTTCCACCTGTCACCTGATGTCCGTTTCTCACAGCACCCACGGCTACATTAAACTACCTGGCCTGCTTGTTGCTTCCCTTGTTTGTGGGCTGTCTGCCTGCTGGAATGTGAGCTCCTTGTTCCCTGCTCTGTCCTGGGGCGCCTGGCACACAGTGGGTGCTGTCAAGCAGCAACTGCATCGGGCTGGGACAGTGAAGTGGGACCGCAGGGCCAAAGGCTCGGGGCAGGTCAAGGGCTGCCTTTCACCTTGAGCAGTGGTGCTCCTCTGGAGCTGGCCTCCCTCCCCTGTGAGAATTCCCGGGTCTCAGGGGGTCTGGGGCTTTTGAACAATGTTCACAGTAAGAAATCAGCTCATGTGAGGTCAAGAGATTGAGACCAGCCTGGCCAGCATGGTGAAACCCTGTCTCTACTAAACATACAAAAATTAGCTGGGCATGGTGGCATGCGCCTGTAGTCCCAGCTACTTGGGAGGCTGCGGTGGGAGAATCGCTTGAACCCAGGAGGCAGAGGTTGCAGTGAGTTGAGGTCACACCACTGCCCTCCAGCCTGGCAACAAAGCGAGACTCCATCTCAAAAAAAGAAAAAAATAGAAATCAGCTAATGTAACCAACGGGACATTCCTGGGTCCTCTGAGTGCAGATGACAAAGAGACAAAACAAAGCAGGGATCTCATGAGGTATAGTCCACCCCATGTCCATACCGCCGCATGCAGGCCAGGCCATAAATGTGCCCATTGGATAGATGAGAACACTGAGGCCAAGGCACAGAGAGAGTCAGAAGCAGACAGAATGTCCTGGAGCCTCAGGCTCCTGGGCGTCCTCCTGGAATCCATGGCTATGGCGTGTGGCCTGCCGGCCCTCATTTTCTCCTTAGACTGGGGGAGTTGTTTCATTTTGTTTGGTTTTGTTGAGATGGAGTCTCACTCTGTTGCCCAGGCTGGAGTACAGTGGCACGATGTCAGCTCACAGCCTCCACCTGCTGGGTTCAAGTGATTCTCCTGCCTCAGCCTCCTTAGAAGCTGAGATTATAGGCTCCTCCACCATACCTGGCTCATTTTTTATATTTTTAGTAGACAGGGCTTCACCATGTTGGCAAGGCCAGTCTCAAATTCCTGACATCAGGTGGTCCGTCCTTCTCAGCCTCCCAGTCCTGGATCACAGTCTCGAGCCACCGCACATGGCCTGTTTTGTTTTGCGTTGAGTGAAAGTTTCCCTGAGTCAGCCACCTGCTTCCGTTTGCCCCTGGGGCTGCTGACCTGGCCCAGGCTGCGGGGGCAGGAAGGAAGGGGCTGAGCCAGCCTGGCCTGGCGGACAGAGCAGGGGCAGGGATGGGGTTGCAGCGGCCACCTGTGAGGGTGGGGCCTCAGGCCTGGCCCTAGGACGCCAACCCAGCTCCTCTTGGGAGAATCTCACTGCTGGAGCGGATGCCGTTACTGGCCTGCCCTGAGCCTTCGGTACCCCATACCCAATTTGTTATCTCAACAAGTACTCCCCAAAGGATGGAGCTGACATGGAGCCTGCTCCAGAACTGACAGGAGAGATGTCCCCTCAAGCTGGGGTCCACAGAGAGAGAGGACTGGAGGTGAAAATTGGTGGGACGGGACCCCCCAGTGAGCCAAAGGCCCCAGGCCTCAGAGTTCTAGCTGACCAAACAGGCTCTGCCTCTCCCCTGCTGTGTGGCCTTGGCCAAGTCACTTCCCCTCTCTGGGCCTTAGTTTCATCATCTGTAAAATAGCATTTGGTGATGTTGACCTTGGGGGGGCTGTATGAGAATCTGGGGGACACACGGAAGGCGTGCTCATGGAAGGGAGGAAGGAGCCCCCCTCTTGCTCTGCCCCCCCTCCCGGGCCTGGCCCCGCCCCACCTCAGTCGCTTGGTTGCTCCCCCTCAGGGACTCCCACCCCCGCTCCTGCTATTTCAGTTCCTCCGGGCCCACCTGTGGGACGACGGGGGCCTCACAGGCTCTGAAGAGGAGCCCGTGTGGCCAAGCAGGTCATGCCAGGGCTGAGAAGCAGTGTGTCTCAGACCAAAGCGCCCCCTTGTCTGCTTCCCAGAGCCTGAAATCCCCCCACTGAATTGTCACCCCTGAGCTGTTTAACACGAGGCACCCTAGGTGACCGCTGGTGGCAGTGCTCAGGCTGGACCCCTCGACCTTCACCCCAAGGCTCGGTGCATGGCATCCAGGTGCTGCGGGCCTCCCAGACTTGGGCACAGCCCAGGAAGGGACTCAGGTCCCCACTTCTGTTCCCCAAACCCCGTGGTCCGCAGGGCCCCCGGTGGCAGATCCTGAGAGTCCGGTCCAGCCACCCCAAACCTCTTACGAGGATCGCCTGAGGCTGGGCTGCCCTGGGGCTGGGGAGTGGGCGGGACTGCGGGGCCAGATTCTAACTCAGCCCTGTGACTATGGGCAGGTCCCGGCCCAGGCCCCCAGCCCATCTCTGTGAGTAGGCGCAGAAGCCAGTGCAGGCGAAGCCCACCTGGGGCCTGGCGTGTAGTGGGATCTCCGTGGTTGATGGTTGCTCCTTCCGGTGACGGCGTGGCCTTGTGTCTCCTGCCCACAGATCCTGAACATGGAGGATGACCAGAACTGGTACAAGGCCGAGCTCCGGGGCATAGAGGGGTTTATTCCCAAGAACTACATCCGCGTCAAGCCCCACCCGTGAGTGGACCCCCCCACCCCGTCCCCGAGGCTCTCTCTCTCTTGCCATGGGAACCCCTCACTCCTGGGCTTCTGTCTTTCTGTCTGAGGCCCCCAGGCTCCACAGAAGCCACCAGCCTGGGCAGGCACAGGAGACTGAGTTCTGAGGACTTGCCCGGAGTGGGGGCAGAGTCAGGGCAAGCCCAGGCCTCCACCTGAGGACCTGAGCACCAGAGGATGTCCAGGAGGTCCCTGAGAGAGGACAAGGCCCTGGGCTTTCAGCTGGGACCTGCTGGCCTGGGACCTGCCGGCCTAGGGATGTCCCACGTTGGGCTCTGGGCGGGTGGCAGCCAACACTGCTGCCCCGAGAATGGCTCCAGAACAGGCATGGGGCCCAAGAAATCTATGCAAACTAATGGGATACACTTTAAATGACAGCTGAGGCAGCCCAGAGACACAGCCACTTAGTCATTCGCTAAACACTGGCCACAGCTCCAGGGGGCCCAGCCCGGGTGATGCTGAAGACACAAGGGGTCAGAGCAGCCGTGTTCTGGGGAGAAAGGCAACATAAAGGACCCACTACATGGGAAGACAGTGAGCATTAAGGTGATTTCCCAGGGAAGGCTTCTCAGAAGAGGTGGCAATGGGTGAGGTTTTGAAGGATGTGTAGGAGTTGGTTAAGTAGAAAAAGAGAAAGGCGTCCCTGGGAGAGGGTCAGGATGAGCAAAGGGAGAGCAATGAGAGACAACCTGTGGCGTGTGGCACTGGCAGGAGGACCTCAAATGCCAAGCCATGTGGGGAGCTATGGAGGTGTTAGGGTAAGATTCAGTCAGATGTGGAGACAGGTGACAGGGCCAGGCAAGCTGGAAGGACAGTTTGGGAGCTGAGATGTGTGTGTGGCTGTGGGGTGGGAGGTGAAGGAGGTTCAGGGCCAGGGTGGGGCCTGAGAGGTATTTCCTCTTTATCTCTCTTTAAGTTAGTTCCAAAGCTGCCACCACCTCCAGCTTCCTGTGCTGGGCGAGGCCCCTCCCACCCAGGTCCTCAGCCACCTGCCTGGGCGCCGGGCACTCCCAGCCTCCCCCACAGAGGCTGCAGCCTGGGTTCCGGGCCCCGCTATGTCCCTCGTGGCTATGTGACATTGGGCAGGTTTTTGTGTCAATTAAAGGGGAGTGTGTAAAGAGGGAGGGAGACGGAGAGAATCCCACCCAGGGCCACAAGCTGGAGCCAGGCCCTTAGGTCCCTGGAAGTCAAGGGCACATCCAGACAGGCCAGAGGGCACGGCGGGGAGCAGTCTCCCGGACCGAGCTGTCAGGGAGGGGCCTTCAGGTAGAAGAAATGGCCTGGCAATGACTGGAAGGCTGGCCGGCCTGCAGCTGCTGAGAGTCGTATTTGCTCAGGCAGGGGAGAAAAGATGAGAACAGATGGCAGTGCACCGCCAGGCCTGTTGTGGGGACGCCAGTGGTCGAAGCAAGACTCTAGCAGGGCAGTTGGGAGCCATGGAGGGTTCTAGCCTCTCGTGCCTCTGGAGTCATCTCTGGCCACTTGTGTCTGGGTCAGAGCAGGGACGGGGTCAGGCCCTGACTAACCTGCCTGAAACGATGCCCAGGTGTGTCCTCGGCTAGCCTCAGCACCTGCTCTGCTCCCAAAATAGCTACGGGGAAACTCCAGCTCCACACCTGACTCAGCTCATAAAGGCCCCAGGATGCGGTGGCAGAGGAAGGGCTGGGGCCTCAGAAGTTCAGAGGTAGGCCTCGTGCCTAGGCCAGGCCCTCTCCTTCCCTGAGCACCCCCTGTCAACCCCAGGAGCCCCTGGGGGAGGCACGATCTATACCAAGTGCTCCAGAGCCAGCCCCATCAGCAGGGGCCACAGCGGCACCTGCCCCAGCCTCACGGCCTGTGGGTGTCAGGGATGGCTTCCCAGAGGAAGACTGTGGCCCGCTGGCCCTGGGAGTTCCAGCAGAAGTCTGCAGGGCAGGCAGAGACAAGCCTGGCAGGGCATGTGGAGGAGAAGCAACACCCTGGCACAGCAGCGCAGTCATCCTCCCAAGGCCCTATGAGCTGAGCACCACCATCGCCATCTTTCAGATAAGCAGACAGAGGCACAGAGAGGTTGAGCGGCTCTCCAGGATCTCACAGCTGGCAAGAGATGGAGCAGGACTGCAGCCGTGTGGCATGGCCCTCGGCTGGGACGCCCTGGAGGGCAGTGGGGAAGCTCATAAGAACAGCTATGGGGAGGCCAGGCACCGTGGCTCAGGTCTGTAATCCCAGCACTTTGGGAGGCCGAGGCCGGCGGATCCCCTGAGGTCAGGAGTTTGGGACCAGCCTGATCAACATGGAGAAACCCCGTCTCTACTAAAAATACAAATAATTAGCTGAGCATGGTGGCGCATGCCTGTGCAATGGTACAATCCTCAGCCACTTGGGAGGCTGAGGCGGGAGAACTGCTGAAACCAGGGGGCGGAGGTTGCGGTGAGCCGAGATTGCTCCATTGCACTCTAGCCTGGGCAACAAGAGCAAAACTCCGTCTCAAAAAAAAAAAAAAAAAAAAAGAAAAGAAAAGAAAAAGAACAACTGTAGGATGGGGAGAGTCCCAGGCCGTGCACTTGCTATGCAGTCTCATGGGGTGTGGGGGCGTCTCTGCCCCTATGTGGGCCTCAGTTTCCACATCGGTAAGACAGGGACGATTCGAGGTGGCCACAGATGTAGTGACACTGGTGTGGCCCCCAGGAGCCAGGCCCTGGGGGTTTCAGGAAGTGCTTTCTTCTTCCTGCCTCCGTCAAGCCATGGTGGGGGCGGGGCTGGCAGGGGATGTGGGAGACTCCTGGGAGGGTGTGACTGCGACACTCTCTGAGGGAAGCAGCCACCCACGTACTGATGCCGCCTGCAGGGTTTTGTGGGTTCTTCGAAGAAACGTGGCCCCTCAGGAAACTCCCGCCCTTGGCCACACTGGGCACTGTTCCAGGACGGAGCTGGGGGCTTCCTGGTGGAGGAGCTCTCAGCCGCTCCCCTCCCTGGTCACCCCAACCGTGGGTCCCCTGGGCCCCCCTCCTGCCGCAGCCTGTGGCATTCACCTCCCGCCTTGAGACACCCAGGCTGGCTGGGCACCTGCCTTCAGGTCTCCAAACCCCAGAAGACCCAGGCCAGCTCTCCGGATGGTTGCCCCGAGCCCCATACCCAGTGGCTACCTTCCCCATGTCCCCTCCCAGGAGGAAAGTCACCGTGACAGGGCCGAGGGGCCCGTTCGTTTGCAGGCAGCAGTGGTCTAGAGTCTCATGTCCAGGGGATTGGGCTTCTCCGGAAACCATCGCTGAGTTAGGAGCCTGAGAACAAGGAATTTATTTAGCCATGGGGAAGGGGACAGGGAAGTGGGGGAGCCAGTGGGGTGTGCTGTCGGCATCATCGCTGCTGGGGGCAACCGGAGCTCCATCTGGCTGGCGATCGGCACCAGCTGGAGACAGCACAGAATGTGCGGCTCGGAGTCATCCCTCCGGAGGGCCGGGTGCTGGATCGCCTACCCCGGTGCCCCATCAGTCACCACTGGGAGTCAGACTGTTCCTGGGGGCCTCAGCCTGCCCTGAATCCAGGCCAAGTATGTCCGTCACCAGAACAAAAGCCCCGAGGTCTGTGCTGAGCAGCCTTCATCCTGCCGAGGCCGCCCAGGGACACGGCCTGGACACTAGCGGCACCACAGCCTTCTGCACTCAGCCCGAGGGCTCATCAGCATCCGAGACAACAGGAAAAGCCCCGCCCGGCTTCCACCACCTGCGCCAAGCTCAGCCTGACTCAGGGAGCGGAGCATTTGTGGAAGGAGTGAGGGGAAACAGTCTGTCTTCGTCCCAACATGAGGCTTCCGGCTGCTCTGGGCCTCAGTTTCCCCGTCTGAACAATAAAGGGGTCAGAGCCAAAGCTGGGCTAACACACTGGAGCTAGGAAAGTCAGTTAGAGATCAGCCAGCCCCTCCGATGGGGGTGTTTTAGTCCCGAAGGCTGCTGTCTTGGAACGCCATCCACTGGGTGGCTTGTGAACCACAGATGTTTGCTGCTCACTGTTCTGGAGGTTGAAGTTCAAGATCAAGGTGCCAGCTGATTCGGGTCCGGTGAGGCTGTGTCTTTTAGCTGTGTCCTCAGGGCAGAGAGGCAAGTGAGCTCTCTGGGGTCTCTCATAAGGGCACCAATCCCATTCACGGGGGCTCCAAATCACCGCCCAAACTCTAATCACGGCCCCACCTCTAACTACTGTCACATGGGGGATTAGGTTTCAATATTTGAATTTTGGGGGGACACAGAGTCAGCCTATAGCTGTGGCTAATTCCTGAAGAGGCCACCAGGAGCCACACAGCAAGATCAGCAGGACTGGAAGATGAGTTTCACTACCAGACCCTGGGGGTCTTGCAAGAGTCTAAGCATTTGCCAGGCGCCTTCTGCATGCTCAGTTCTGTTTGCTCAGCAGGAAAAGGAACCTGGACCTGTGAAAAAAATCTAGGTGGCCTGAGTCTGTGCAACGGGTACAGAGAGAGGTATTTCCTCACCAGATCAAAGCTACTATGATTTTTGTCATCTGTTTTTATATTTTTTGACTTAAGTGTTTTTTAGGAATGGGGGTGGGGGAGTGTCTCACTGTATTCCCCAGGCTGGGCTCAAATTCTTGGCCTCAAGTGATCCTCCCATCACAGCCTCCCAAGTAGCTGGACTACAGTCACGCACCACCAAGCCTGATTTATTTTTTGGCTTTAAAGAATCTGCCATCTCAAAGGGAAAGTGAGACTGAGCTTGGCTGGGTTGTGGTTAACTGGAGTATGACTTTTCTGTTTCCATAAGGGTGTGTGTTTGCTGGTAGGATAGGCTGGCCTCAGGAGCAAAATGCTGGGATTGTGTTCCAGCTCCTGCCTGCCTCTCCTGTGTATATTGTGTCACTTCTCTGTGCCTCAGTTTTCTCATCTGTAAAATGGACGCAGTCACCTCTCCCTTGTCTCAGACGTTGAACGCCTGGCACATGGTGGGAGGCTGGCTGAGAGCCTGGTTTCCCACGGCCTTCACTGGCTCCCTCTCTCCACAGGTGGTACTCGGGCAGGATTTCCCGGCAGCTGGCCGAAGAGATTCTGATGAAGCGGAACCATCTGGGAGCCTTCCTGATCCGGGAGAGCGAGAGTTCCCCAGGGGAGTTCTCCGTCTCTGTGAAGTGAGTTCTGGCCCTTGGGGGTGTGTCCAGAGGAGGGTGGGTGGGTGTAGGGGCAGCATATAAGTTGAGCCTTGAAGCCTGGGATGGTCTCATGGAATGAGGGCAGAGGGATGGCATCCCTGCAGAGGGAGAAGCCTGGCAGAGGCCTAGAGACAGGCGGTGGTCTGGGCACCCCAAGGTGCAGCCCAGAGCAGTGGGGTGTGTTGGGAAGGCAGGCTCAGGCCAGCTGTGCAAGGCCTCAGGGTCCAGGCTTTATTCTACGAGCATAGGAGCATCCTAGGTTCTTTATCAGGAGGGGGCGATGTCCAGGGTGATGTGGATAGATACCGGGGCAGGAGAGCGCTGAAGTGCCCAGGGCATGTCAAGGATGTGCTCGGGACAGGGTCTCACCCTCTGTGATGTAGTTGGGAAGATGCACCCTAAGGCCAGGCTGCCTGGGTTCGAATGCTGCTTCTGCCACTTCCTGGCTGTGTAAGCTTGGGCGAGTCACTTACCTTCTCTGTGCCTGTTTCCTCACACGTAAAATAGGCTATTGCATGGAATAAATGACTTGGTATATTTAAAGCAATTAGAATAGTTCCTGGCAGGGAGGCAGGGTGGCTGTGCTGGGGAACATCTGGCACTGGATTAGAGGGTCGTCAGCCATGGGCAGCCCCATCCCAAAGGCCACACAGGGGTGATGGAGGAATCCCGGCTGGAAGGTAGCAGCAGGAATGGGGGTGGGGAGAGACATGGTCAGCTCCTGGCTCATCTCTGTCCTTCCTACTCTCCGGGCCTGGAAGAGTAGAATCTGGATGCATTAGTTTAAGGAATATTTACTGACTATGTGCCACGTGCCAGGATGCTCTAGCAGTTGGGGAAACCACAAGGGAAAAACGAAGTTGCTGCTGTTGTGGGTTTCAGTCTTAGTGAGTGAACAAGAAAACACGTGAAGACAGAATGAACCAAGGTGGTCAGGAAGGGGCTCTGAGGAGGAGGCATTGCCGAAAGATCTGAACTAGAAGGTGGGGGGAGAGGCTTCCAGGCAAAGGGAACAGCGTTTGCAAAGACCCTGAGGTGGGAATGCGCTTGGGGCGTTTAGGAACCCAGGGGAGGTGGTGTGGCTGGAGCAGAGTCAGTGAAGGGCGGGGCTGCGTCCCAGCCACATCCAGTCATCACGGAGGGCCTGAAAGGAGGCCGGTTTTCTCTCAGGGTGATAGGGAGCCAGGGAGGGTCTTGAGCAAGGGAGAGATGTGACTGGACTCCTTTTTTTTTTGAGACGGAGTTTTGCTCTTGTCGCCCAGGCTGGAGTGCCGAGGCGCGATTTCGGCTCACTGCAACCTCTGCCTCCCTGGTTCAAGCGATTCTCCTGCCTCAGCCTCCAGAGTAGCTGGAATTACAGGCGCCCGCTATGCTAATTTTTGTATTTTTAGTAGAGACAGCGTTTCACCAGGTTGTCCAGGCTGGTCTCCAACTGCCGATCTCAGATGATCCTCCTGCCTCTGCCTCCCAAAGAGCTCATTACAGGCATGAGCCACTGTGCCCGGCTGGACTCCATTTTTAGCAGATGCCTCTGGCTGCTCTTCCCCTGCCCTCTGGCGGGGGGAAGGGCGTGGCTGCAGGGAGGCCAGTGGGGAGTCGGGCGGGAGGTGATGGCTTCTGGGACTGTAGAGGCAGGGGCTGAGGGGACACAGAGAAGTGGCTGGGCCCAGGTGTGGAGGCGTGTGCGGGGCCACCAGCAATGCCAACTCTCAGGACTGCTGTGGGCACAGAGCATGGAACGGAGGAGGCGCTCACCCTGCCAGCTTACTGTCACCATCTGAGTTAAGATGGGCTGGCAAAGAGGCCGGCCGGAAGGAAGGAATGAAGGAAGGGGTGGCCTGAGAGAAGTGCAGTGTGGCCTCTCATGATCTTCTAAAGAATGAAGAAGGCCAGGTGTGGTGGCTCACGCCTGTAATCACAGCACTCCGGAAGTCCGAGGCAGGCAGATCACTTGAGGTCAGGAGTTCAAGACCAGCCTGGCCAACATGGTGAAACCCTGTCTCTACTAAAAATACAAAAACTAGCAGGGTGTGGTGGCACACGCCTGTAATCCCAGCTACTCGGGAGGCTGAGACATGAGAATCACTTGAACGCAGGAGGCAGAGGCTGCAGTGATTTTGCCACTGCACACCAGCCTGGGTGATAGAGTGAGACTCTGTCTCAAAAAATAAAAATAAATAAAGGACAAAGCAATACAGGCCCGCTTCGACAGCCAATATTGGGGCTGGGTGTGGAGAAGGAAGCGTGACGGGCTTGGGGTCAGGGGATCCCGAAGAAGCAAATGAAGGCAGATTCAGACAGGCTGGGCCGTAATGGCTCATGAGGGCTCCTGCTGGGGGAAAAGCATCCCCACCTGATGCTTTCCAGGCTCTGCGGGGTCCCTGTGGCTCCCCTGTGTGCATCTGGCCCATTTTGTAACAAGCTTTTCACTGTGTGGGCTCAGCACATCCGCTACTGGCCCTGCAGGGTGGTGAGCTCCCCTGGACCGGGAGACACTGAGAGAGGTGGGAGACTGTGGTCAGGAAGGTGACTCATTTATTGTTGTGATGAAGGCACGGTGGCTCACGCCTGTAATCCCGGCACTTTGGGAAACCGAGGCAGGCAGATCACCTGAGGTCAGGAGTTCAAGACCAGCCTGAGCAACATGGAAAAACACCGTCTCTACTTAAAATACAAAATTTGCCAAGTGTGGTGATGCATGCCTGTAATCCCAGCTATTCAGGAGGCTGAGGTGGGAGAATCGCTTGAACCTGGGAGGCAGAAGTTGCAGTGAGCCGAGATCGTGCCATTGCACTCCAGCGCAAAACTCCAACCAAAAAAAAAAAAAAAAGGAACACCTGAGGCTGGGTAATTTATCAGGAAAAGGCGTTCATTTGACTTGGTGTTCTGCAGGCTGTATAGGAAGTATGGCGCCGGCATCTGCCTCTGGTGAGGCTGCAGGAAGCTTTTACGCATGGTGGATGGGGAAGGGGAGCTGGCATGTCACAGGGGGAGTCAGGGGGCAAGTGGGGAGGGAGGTGCTTTTCCCCCAGCAGGAGCCCTCATGAGCCATTACGGCCCAGCCTGTCTGAATCTGCCCACTCACCCCTCGCCCCCCCAATTGGTGGAACCAGCCATCAGCCTTGTTCCCTTCCCTTTTCTTCTGGGGTCAGACTGGTGATCCTGAAGGTCAGGAAGGGCTTGTGCCCCCCTCTGAGCCTCTATTTCCCCATCTTAAAAATTCAAGCACTATCAGCATGTGCGCGTGTGCACGTGTGTGTGTGTGTGTGTGTGTGTGTGTGTGTGTGTGTGTGTGCTGGAGGGTTACTGTGCATTCCTGGCCCTCACTGCCCACCCCCAGGATAGTGTAGGCACCTGGAGCCTGGAGTCCCCTCGGCCCCACCCCCCACGCCCAGCCCAGCCCAGCCCCCACTTCCCTGCAGCCCTGGGGAGCCACAGCTTCTTCCAAGTGTTGGCTATCCAGGGCCTAGTCGCCTCCTGAGAATGGCATCCGCCAGGCGGCCTGGCCTGGCTCTGAGTGGCTGCTGGAGCCAATCCCAAAGCCCAAGGTCACCCAGCAAAGTGGGGACACAGGGGACTCAAACCATGCCTGGAGCCGGAGTTGAGGGGGAGGGGCTGGCCCTCTCAGCCCTTCTTCCTCCTCTAACAAGTCATGTGGCCTCGTCCTCTACATTAGCGCCCCGGTGTGCTGCCCTCTTCAGGCGCCTCTCTGTAAGTGCAGCCACCTGTGCACACGCACGTGATCAGACCTGAACACCCCAGGCTTGTGAGTTTGTTCAGCACACATTTGTTGAGCATCAGCTGTGTGAGAACCACAAAGCAGGACTGGAACAGGAGAAATGGTCACAGCTGGGGCCAGGGGTCTCTATGATGAGCAAATGAATAAATGAAATTCAGTGACAGTGGATACATTCCACATAGTGAAGGCACCAGGTAGGAGGTGACATCTTAGTTGGGCTCTATAGCATGAGCAGGAGTTTGGTGCACAAAGAAAGTGTAGATGATTTGCCAGGCACGGGGAACAGCATGAGCAGAGACCTAGAGGTAGGAAGCGAAGGGTGTGTTTGGATAACAATGTGTTTTCTGACCAGGAGGGAAGATGGACAGCCCTAGGGAGCAGTTCTTGAGCAGGCGAGCCAGCACTGATGTTTCCTTGGAAGGGATCTGGAAGCGTCCCTCAGAGAAATCCTGTGCCGTCCACCCTTTCCAAACCAAGGCACGCTGGACAAGTGTGCCCAAGTCAGAACCGTCAGGAGCTTCCTGGGCTCAGCTGGCTGTGGTTTGCACACAGCACCAACAGGTGGTGCCCTTGATCCTTGGTTTTTCCCTGCCTGGGCCTGGGCTCCTGGGTCCTGCTCCCACTCTGTCCATCATCTGTCATGGGGCCTTTCAGTGGTCCTTGGACAGCCACCAAGCAGGGGTCAGAGTAGGAAGCTGAGACTCACATGGGGCATGTGGCTAAGAGCATGACATTTTGAGCAGCAGTCAGCTCTGACACCTGCTAGCAGCTGGCTGTATAATCCTGGGCAAGTTACTCCTCTGAGCCTCAGTTTCTTCATCTGTAAAATGGACAGCTATGTAGCATGTTTTGTATGATGACTGGCACATGATAAGTTCCAGTTATCGTAATTATATTAAGCCCCCAAGGACCACACACCATGCTGGGGAGGGATTAGGGAGCCCCTCCTGGCCTGGAAAACTGCTCCGCACCCCTGTCCATGAATCCAAGGCTCTTAGAGAAGAGGCAGCGGCACAGGGAGGCAGGGAGCCCGGACGCTGGGAAGCCAGGTGACCCGAAGGCCATCTAGGAAAGCAACAGCCTGGCCAATTTGTAAGAGCTCTTCTGCCCTCGCTGACTGGTGCTTGGGAACTCTGATGCCACTACGAATGGCATTGCCAGCATATTCCCGCCAAGCCCTGTAAAGCTGTCAGACGTGGGTTTATGGGCCTCATGCTGCCTCCCAGAGCAACTGTGGCCA